TGAGGGGCAGGAGGGGTGGGAGAGCCAGTTCCAGCCTCTGGAGAACCAGTTTCCAGCTCGAGAATCCCAGTATCCAACTCAGGAGAACCAGTTTCCAGCTCGAGATTCCCAGTTCCAGGCTCTGGAGACCCAGTATCAGCTTCACGAGACCCAGTTTCCAGCCCGTGATTCCCAGTATCCGGCTCATGAGAACCAGTTCACCACCTGCGATTCCCAGTATCCAGCGCACGAGAACCAATTCCAGCCTCTGGAGAACCAGTTTCCATCTCGGGATTCACAATATCCAGCTCATGAGAACCAGTTTGCTGCCTGCGATACCCAGTATCCAAGCCCAGAAAACCAGTATCAGGCACTGGACAGCCAGTTTCCAGCCCGTGATTCCCAGTACCGGGCTCATGAGAACCAGTTCCCTGCCCGGGAAAACCAGTTCCAGGCTCTGGAAAACCAGTTTCCGGCCCGCGATTCCCAGCATCCTGGCCGGGATTCACAGTATCCGAACCCTGAGAACCAATATCCGAGCCGGGATTCACAGTACCAGGCACTGGAGAACCAGTTCCCGGCCCGGGATTCACAGTATCCTGGCCGGGAGAGCCAGTTTCAGAACCGTGACTCCCAGTTCCCTGCCCGAGACAACCAGTACTCCACCCCGGAGAGCCAGTATCCAAGCCGCGACTCCCAGTACCAGGCCCAGGAGAACCAATATCCTGGCCGGGATTCTCAGTACCAGCCCAGAGACAACCAGTACCAGACCCGGGAAAACCAGTTCCCCACCCAGGACAACCAGTATCACAGCCGGGATTCCCAATACCAGCCTAGAGAGAACCAGTTTGCTGCTCGGGATTCTCAGTTCCCAGCCCAGGACAACCAGTATCCTGGCCGGGATTCCCAGTATCCAGGTCGGGACGGGCCCTATCCGGGCCGTACGGACCAGAGCGCCCAGTATGGGGCCCGGGATTCCCAGTATGGGGCCCGGGATGCCCAGTTCCAGCCTCCACTGGAGCGGGATGGAGCCTTCCCACCCCCAGATGGGCACTATGGAGGCCAGATGGACCGGGACACCCCCTACGGGGGCCGTGAGGGGCTGTATGCCAAGCGTCGGGGCCGTGATCGAGGCCAGCTGAGCCGGGGTGCATCACGGAGCTCCAGCCCCGGGGCCAGTGTGGGGCCTCTCCCCACTGTTGACAGCCCCAGCCCTGGCGCCACCCTTCAGAGGAAGTAAGCAGCATCTAGCACCTGGCGCGGGCATCTTGGACCCCTTCCTTACCCTGTGGGTCCTGGGTTGAGGGTGGAGGTGGTATTTGGGGGGAAGGGGATGGTACCCTCATTGCTCTAGAGCCCTGGTGGGCTGGGTTGTAAATCATCTTGAGTTCAAGATCCCTCAAGGTTTTGGTGGGTAGGTCTCAGTTTTGGGGCTTTATGACCCCCATTTTAGTTGTGGAGCCTCCTCCCCCACTGGTCTAGACCACCCCCAGATCCTGATGGTCTGGGTTCTAGATTCCCCCCAAATTCTAGGTCCCTCAAGGCTTTGATTCATTGAGATCTAGGTCTTGGAGTCTTTGGGGCTTTAGGAGCCCCCCTGTAGTTGTGGTGTCCCCTCTCCCCAGTGCTCTAGATCCCTCTAAATTCTGGAGGGGTAGGCTCTAGATTCCCCTTGGTTCTAGATCTCAGGGTTTTGGAGGGTTGTGATCTAGGTCTCTGGATCCTGGGTACTAGCTCTGGAGATACTTTAACCATTGTTTGAGACCCCTCTAGATTTAGGTGGACCAGTGTCTAGATGCCCTTGGGTTCTAGACCCCTTCAAGTTCTGGTGGACCAAGACTGGTATCCTAAGGCTGTAGACCATCTTCTTTGCAGTAGTCAAGCCCCTCCTCTTTACCCTAGACTCTACTTAGAGTCTAGAGAGCTAAGTTGTAGATCTGCCTGGATTCTAGATACCCTACTTCTAGGCCAAGATCTAGGACCCCAGGTTCTGGATCCCCAGCATGCTTTAGTCCCTCCCCCTTGCCCCAATTCTGGCCTCCATCCCCCAAAATCTAGACCCTTCTGGGTTCTGAAGAGCTAAGTTATAGCTTCCTCTGTATTCTAAGGCACCTCTCACCATGTTCTAGGTCTTAGAACAGTGTTTCTAGACTCAGAGGATTCTGATGCCTCTCCATGCTCTAGACATCACCCTCCCCTGAGTTGTAGTGTGGGGTTTCTGGAGTGGTTCTAGGTGCTTCTGGAACCTAGGGGGTGAGAGCAAAGGGGGCGGGGGGGGGGAGGGGGAGGGGGGGGGGGGGGGGGGGGGTCCTAGAGGGTGCCTGATGGAGCTTGAAAGTTTCTAGGTACAACTCCATGGAGCCCAGCCTGGCTCTCCCAGAATATCTAGACTCTGGTTTAGGCCCACATCTAGAACCAGTAGGGTGTGAATGGGGGTTCTAGAGCTGGCTGAGGAGTATCTGAGTAACCCCAGGGGCCCTGGACCCTAGGTTCTAGATCAGCTCCTCTGTGCTATCTAGCTAGAACTGGGAGGTGGGTTCTAGAACACTGCACTCGGCATTTGCCCAAAACTGGGTGGGTTCTAGAGCGTCAGCAGCAGCCTTTCCTGGGACTGGGTGGCTGGTAGAGCCAGAGCTTCCATCTAGAACTGGGAGAAGGGGGCTCTAGAGCACCCTGTCTTGCCCTGTCCCCTGTAGGTCCAATTTAGAAGCAGCCTGGTTCTAGAACTCCCCAACCTTCCTTTTCCTGTCTGCCTAGGGATGATGCATCAGGCACAGCAGGCCAGAGCCTGTTTTCTTTGGAAGGGGAGTGGGGCTGGGAGCCTGGATGCCTGGGTTCTCTAGGAGTGGGGTTTGGGGGGTACAGTAGGGGTTGCAGGCCTCTGGGGGTGGATCCAGGGATCTTGGAGGGGCAGGGATCCACTGGAATGTGGTGGAGGGCAAAGAAGGAGGTGCACATATCTCACTTCTCACAGCTACCCACTCTTCATGGGTGAGTGCGGGGTAGGAGGCTGGCATGAAACCCAGGTGTCCAGGCTCCTAGCCACTCACTCCCCTCCTAGGGAGCCCTGGTGTCTGTGCTCTCAACCCTTTCTCCACCCCCTTCTCCCCACACTGACTCATGGCAGTCCAGTGTGACTTTGGCTAAGGGCTGAGCTCAGGAATGGGTCCAGACTGGGCTCTGCTTCTCCAGCCCCCTTCAAGTGAAGGGATAAACCTAGGTGTCCGGGCCACATCTGACTTCAGTGAAGGTCTTTTGGCCTCCCTAGAGCCCCTGGCCCCCAGCCCCTTCCTAAAGTACCCAGGCATTGGGACTCCCAGCCCCCTTTGCTCTCCCCACTCCCCCCCAAGATAACACAAGCATCCAGAATCTCTCTGCTCTCATCCCCAGTCCCCCTCCCCCCCCACAGAGAACCCAGAAGCATTGTTATGCACAGCCATTCCCATTGCTCCCACCCGTCCCCCACCCAAACACTGGCTTGGATGCCTGGGTTTTCTGGGAGGGGTCTGAGGGGTGCGAGCAGCAGGGCTGAGAGCCCAGACACCTGGGTTCCAGTGCCCACTGGCCCTCAGCCTATCCCTTCGCCTGGTTGTTGGATCAACCCCTGTCACCTCCCATCACCACTGCTGTTGTCCCAGAGAGGAAGCAGCCTGGACATCTGGATTCCCTGCCCGCTCTGGGCATAGGAATGGGGTTTGGGGGGTGGGGTGTTGCTGGACACCTGGATCTCTTTCCTTGTTAGATTGCAAATCTTACTAGTGTAATCAATTCAAGACCCCCACCCCAACTCCCCTCCCAGAGAAGCTAGTTGTCCAAGCTCCTAGCCCTCCCTGCTCTCCACCCCCAAGACTTCAGTTCTTGCCCAGAGAACCCACATGCCTGGGGCCCCTCCAGGCAGCTGCCCCTCCCCCCCCAGCCACTAGGAATCATGAGAAGTGGCTGCAGCAGGAGTGGGTAGAAACTCATTTCAACACCCACAGTCCTCCTCAGGGCTGAGGAGGCTGCAGGTCTGGAGTGAGGGTCACCATTGGGTGGGGCTGCAGGTCAGAAGTGAGTGGCACCAGGGTGTGGGGGGTTTCTTTTCCCCAGGGTCTTCCCTCTCCTCACTGACCTCCCACCCCACTCTTTGCTCCCCCAGGTCCGACTGCGAGAGCTCCCGCACCGTCAGGTCAGTCTCGGGCCCCTAGCAGGCAGCACCCTGTCATGAGTGGGGAGGATGGTACCTGCATGCCTGGGTTCTTTTCTGGAGGGATGTGGGGGTGAGGGGTGGCGAGCATGGGACTTGTGCAGTGATGGGCATGAAGAAGGCGGTGGGCGAGGAGCCTGGACCCCTGTGTTCTTTCGGAGGAGAGTGGGGCTAGGGGTGAGAGCCCGGGGTGTCTGGGAGACCAGATGTCTGGGTTCTCTGAGATGGGAGTGCAGCTGGCGGGTTGGTGCAGCTGGGGGCCTGGGTTCTCTGGGCATTGAGTGGGGGCTAGGGGTGAGAGCTGGGGGCCTGGACATCTGAGTTTCCCACTCCCCCAACCCAGCAGCTGTTGCTAGGGGTGATGCGGTAGGCGGTTGCCAAGCAAT